TCCCTTAAATCTGCAAAACTACCAAAAAATTCCCCTTTAATTTCTTATGCTGACCTGTGATATGTTGAAACCACAATGGAGAAAGTTGAGATGTGGAAGGGATAACTTTATAAGATTACTCAAATGAAAGAACCGAGGAACACTGACCACTGTATACATGGCATTCATATTAACACTTACTCTCTTTTACCTCTGATTTCTTTTTAAACTTCTATTTCTCATTTTCAATTTTATGATGCTAAATGTTACAGGCTTAAAAAAAATAGCAGCTAGAGCAATATTTCTGAGAAGAAAAGGTGGTACGCAGAACCGAAATTAACATAAATAGGAATGAAAGCAGTGAACGAAAAGATTTAAAACAACAGAAGACTTCTGTCAGCTCTGGTAATCTGGAGAATTTATATCTGCTCAAGACTGGTTTAAACTTATGCTCTAACAACCTGGAACAGATAGTAACATCCCACAAAACACAAAAATTCTGTCTCTGACAGCTGTTCCTAGCACAAGATAGTTTTATTAAACTCGTGAATACAATTTAGCATAATTTTTAAAATGAGAAAAGTAAAAATGCTGAGGTTTTTCTTAATGAGGCCCTCACATTTAAAAATTTTTTTGTTGTTCAGTCATTTCAGGCATGTCCCACTCTTCGTGACCCCATTTGGGGTTTTCTTGGTAAAGATCCTGCAGTGGTTTGCCATTTGCTTCTCCAGCTCATTTTACAGATGAGGAAACTGAGGCAAACAGGGTCAAGTGACTTGTCCAGAATCACACAGCTAGTGTCTGAGGTCATATTTGAACTCGGGTCTTCCTGACTCCAGGCCCAGTGCTCTTTCTGCCCCTTTTAAATATTTACATACATTTAAATATAGATATGTTTATGTGTGTATATACATAATTATGGTTCTGTAATTTTATCAATTTGGGTAATCCCCTTCTTGATAACTTAGTTGATGGTCTATGTTTCTACAGTTAAAATACTTATCATCACATTACTAAGTTAATAAGGAAAAATCAGGACTTCAGGGAAATACACTCTCCCTTCTCCATCAATTCAATTCAAACTATGATGACATAAACTTAGTAATTACTTAGATTTTTCTTTCTTTCCTAGTAGATTTTTCATAGTTGTCAAGTTGAAAGTGGGTAAAAAGAAACCAAAAAAGGTCTGAGAACAAAACAAGCAGTGGCCGATGACTTCAACGAAATGCTCAAGTTTCAGGCTATCTTCGGATAATGTGCTATTGCTGTTGTTTTTGTTTGTAACCCCAGGGCTTAGCAGAGTGCCTAGCACACAGAAAACAGGGAACAGGAGCTTGGTGACTGACTACTCTAGGTATTATTACAAGGTTCTAGAAAAATGTTTTCTTTCCTGTGTCTTTCAGTTCATTAGATAGGCATAAAAAAAAATACAAGTACAACAAGCTTATTATAATCCAAAGGAGTTTTAAATAGAACTAAAATCTAAATTTATAAGTAATTTTCCCCTATTTTTTTTCTATTGCCCAGAATAGAGTAATAGTTCATAAAAAAGAAAAAGATATAAAGAAGTTAAAAAAAAATTTCTATTTTCTAAGAAACCTGGCAGCAGTAGAGTTCTTAGTCAAAATGACTTAATGCTAACATCACACTATTTTGTGAGGGTATTAAAAGGATAAAAACCTGATCATTTGTAATAGTGCCATGAGCTCTCTTCTTCCCTCCTCTTCACCAGTTGATGAAAGTGCTACTGGCACACTTCACTCCACAGCCAATGTTAGGATCAACTATGGAGTGTCTAAAGCAAGGTATTTAGCAATAATGGCTGTTAATCAGCATCCTGGCCTTTCTCATTCCAACAGCTTTACCTCACTGTAAAATGCAGAAACATTACTGTCAAGTTATTTTGCCTTGAGATCAGTAACACTTAAAATATTTTGTAGATGGGTTAAGGGGGGAGGAAGGGAAATGATTCAAGATGAACTCAGACAGGAATAAGTAGGAAGAGAGAAGAAAAAACGTAATTAAATGCTTCATTCCAACCATTAAAGTGGCCTTTGACAAGTCTCTTGTTTTAGATTTACACATTAAGTTGGATAACTGTCTTCATTCTATAGGTCAATTAAATTGTGTGCTTTGGCAACATACAACAAAAGGAATCAGATATTCTTAACATTCTGAATCTTCTAGTTAGCAATCATATGGCAGATTGAGCTCAATTTGAAGTCCTAGGTTTTGAATATGCTGAGATATATCAGATTCTGGTGAATTTTTAAGGGGAAAAAGTTCATGGATGAGCTTTAAAAAGCTTTTTGCTTTTAGAACTGTTGTACTTTTTAACGTTACTTGTGCAGTCACTTGAAAGAAAAGTTTAAAAAATAACATGCACAAGATTAAGTTTTTATTGGAAACTCAAATATAAATTGATGAATCCAACATTATTTAATGATAAACCTATACATTTATTATTTTCATTTGTTAGGTATATAGTCTCAAGTGTTTTGACATTTTTTACTTTATTTAGATATGAGCTGATTAATGCTTATCCCCTAATTAGGATTTCAAAATCTCAACGTCTTATTTTTTAAATTAAAAATTAGCTTTCACTGTTACAAAATACTCCAAAAGCTTCATTAGCAAAACAGACTGGGTTAAAACATGATATATTCAGAGAACATTAAGTGTACATTTACTGCAGAAGTAAATACAGGGTCCTATTATTCAGGGTAGATCTTTCTTTTCAAGCAACTTTTATTCATTATGTTTAAAAAAACTTACACCCTCAAGAACACTTAGTATAATACCTGGCACATAGTAGAGCTTAATAAATGTTTGTTGCCTTGCCCTGTTACCTTATTCTTTTTTAAAAGGCAAAAAAAAATCACAAAGGTGGACATTTTCACTATAAGAATTGAGTCCTACAATCTAGAATTTAAACCACAGCAATTTAGAGTTATGAAGATCAAGTGTAATACTTCATGAGCAAATAATACTTCATTTTACAAACTAGAAGGAATGGTTCAGTGCAAAGAATGCTTGCTTCAACATCAGAAAACCTGGGTTTACATTCTGGATGTGTGACCTGCTTGTGTGACCATAAGCAAGTCGTGCCACCTAAATGGGTCTCAGTTTCCTCGTCTGTAAAAGGAGGGAACTTGACTATGTGGACTCTGAGAACCTTCTCCATTTAGGATCCTATGGCTTAATGGTTACCCGAGTCATCTAAAACATTAATCAGCTAATGAAATAATTCCTGGAAAGCCACACAGTTCCATCACACTACAATTAATTCCCATTTTAAGTGTGATGTGGTATTCTCCTTGCTATCACAATGGCACCTTCCTGTCACCTGGATCCTAGAGCACAAAGCTGGCCATGCTCAGGGATCTTACATTGGCTTTAAAAAGCCCACTGTGCACCAGGTGTTGGGAACACAGAGGCAAACATGAGACAATCTAGGTCCACAAAAAGCTTACATGTGGCCAGAAAGTTATGGGTTGCTCTTAATGATCATACCATTTAAAAATTTGAGAACCTTGGTATAGAAAACAAAAAATGGCTTATCTTACTGCAAAGATAAAAACCAACAAAAGCACTCTTTTGCACAAAATTCAGCACACATGCATAAGATATACAAATGAAGGAAATCTATTTTTTCACCTCTTTGGGACCTCTGACCACTTCATTTGCACATTCTTCTTGGCAAAGGAAGTCTTATCCCTTTATCTTGACCAAAAACATTTAAACTAAACTATTAAAAGAAGTTACAATATAAATGCACACTAATCCAACTACTCAAAGATTTTCTACCCACTAAAGACACACACACACACAAAATTTAGCTCAAGCGAAGGGTGACAATGAAGAAGCCTCAACTATCATAGTATTCTCTCAAATCTTTTATTAAACCGAGCAAATGAAGTTTTCAACAACAATCCCTACTTGCTGGCAAACTAACAATAGGTAACAGACCAAAGAATACCATCCAAAATGAAACACAATGAAAGAAAGATCACAATGATGAGAAAAGGTGAAACATAACTAAGATTTTGGAAACTAAACATATCTGATAAAATCTGCAAAAATATAAATGCGTTTTTATATTTATAGCAAAAGCAGAATCAATCCCCTGCCCTCCCCCTCAAACACTTACTTTTTTTTTTTAATGGCAAAAAAATACCACATAGTTTAAATAGGAAACAGATAGAACGCCATGTGTTGCAAGGTTTCCGACAAAGCAAATCTCACTGCTTGGGAGTATGGTGGAAGGAAGAATAATGGTGCAATGGAACAGCTAAGGATATTATTGGTCCAATCTTAAATCAGTGAGAAACAGTCCTTGAAGGGAACTTCTCAATCTTCTGCAGGATTCTACCGACTAAGGGCAGAGAGAATGATATTAAGGTGATTTGAACAGAAAACCACATGTATATATATTCTTTTAACCAGTAATACATGAGGTGGTTATATACTTGCCCAAAGCATGCAAATAACAGCAGTATTATCTGGGTCTGCTAGGCACCTATTAAGATGGGCAGGTGACGTTAAGAAAGTAATTTCCTCCTATTCCTATGTCATTAAGCTATATCAAACCCAACTCTATAGATTTGAATAGAACACTGAAGAAGCAGGCAAGGTAGAGACCACAAAGCACTACGAAAATGTGCTAGAGTAATAATCAGCCAAAAGCTTCATAGCCAGTAAAAAAACCTTTTTTAGCTCAAGAAGATGGAAGGAAATGCAAACTGAATAAGTATCCCTTCTCTCAACATGTAAGGCTTACACCGTCATCTACAAATGAAAGTAGCTGTGAAGTTCATAAAATGGAGATAAAAATGTCATTTCAGGTATCACAACCTCTTCCACCCAAACTAAATTTTATTTTCAACTATGTACTTCGTGGTACCAAATCCTGAAACATTAATTTTCCAGGTTTTAAACAGAACCTAAAATCCAATGTGGTGGAAATAAAAAGAAAACTAGCAAAGGAAAAGATCAAGAACTGGTGTAAAGCTAAAGCAGACCTGCTTCCTCATCCTCCTCCTCCTCTTCCTCATCATCTGAAGTTGATGACGAGGGAGTTGGTGCAGAGCTAGCTTGATTATTAACATATCCACCATACTGCATGCCTGTGAAGTGGAAAGCACAAACACAAGAGTCAAACCGACAGGAAAGATGAGAAATAAAATCATGTCATTGCATTTTAAAGTGAGAAAGAATTCTGGCATTCCAAAGGACAACTCAACATGCACATAACCAAACGTGTTACCCAATCTGGAACAGCTAGGTTATCTGCGAGAAGCAGCTTCCACATGGACGAATTTGGTTAAGCATCAATAGTACACAGCACTACACAATTCATATTTCATAGAGGCAACCATATTTCTTTGGAAGTTTTCTTGATGCCTATACACCTTTATCAGTGAGTACCTGAGATGTACTTCTTTTTAGACTGTAAGCTTTTTGCATGTAGGGAGCATGGTATGGCACAAAGAGCACTCAGCTTTCAAGTTCTAGCTTTGCTACTTGTATGACCATGAACAAGTCAAATACTTCCCTTTTCTGGACTGTAAAATGAGGGTATGGGACTAGACTGACCTCTGAACTCTTTCTAGCAAAGACTCTAATTCAGTTTCCATAGGACTTAGTCCCATTTCTTCCCCTAATGTTGTCTTGGTAGCAACCCAGTTTCTATAATGCAGGAAGGGAATGGGGAGAAGACGAAAATCACAATGGAAAGGGAAGAGATGTAGAAAGAATAAAATAAATTCTAGCACCTGGAACAATGTTACACACACAGTAGGTGCTTAATAAAAATGATAGACTGCCAATACTACTTACCAAAAGGGAAAGAAACTGAAGGCATGACAAATGCATAACCATTTTAAGCTACTCTGCCCATACTGGGGGTTGAAAAAGAGAATGATGAAACTGATTCCCTATTAAATCCAACACAAGGAAAATGCTGCAGGAAAATACAACGAATAACAATTATAAGGTATTTCCCAGCAAATTAGGCTGAAAAGCGGTTAGTCTTTTTTATGTTTCCTTAATCAGGTAAAATTAGGATAAACTTTTCAATCATTCAGTAAGCTAACCCAAACTGTTCTTAGAAAGAAAAATCTGAAATTTTAAATTTCAAGATGAACCACCAAACATTTAAAGAAAAACTAATTTGAGGAAAAATCTGATAAGTCTGCCTTGAAGCATTCAGACTGTAGGAACAATGATCCCGGCGTTTAGATGTTTTCCACATTTCTTCAAATGAACATATTTTTGGTTTTTGGAACAGTAGTCACTTCTAAAAATCATACAAGTATATGTATGATTTCCCATTTGCAAGAAATTTTTTTCTATAATGGGGCAAAAGCTAAACATAAAATGATTTTGGAATTTTAGCCTACCCATTAAATCTCAAGATGCTATACAAAAAAAAAACTACTACCTTTCTTGAAACATGTTAATGTAAAAATGACGGCTATTTTGATAAAATGGGAAAGGAAAAAAGTATAATATACATGAAATTCAGGCACACATAATATAAACTTGGCCTCTCAAGAGACCTGATTCAAATTGGCTTGATTCTCTAAGTCCAACTAAATGTATACATAAACATCAGTTATACACTACGCTACATACAATAAAAATGTCATGGTAAGCATATAGTTTGTAAGTTAACACAAAATATTTATAGAAAGAGATAAATGCATTTGATTCTAGATCTAGAGTTTCTGGGGAAAAAAAGCAGCATTTTCTCCACATACCGTCAGAAAATATGCACTTTAAATAGTAAAAATTGATGTAAATGTACAATATCACTTACATATAAGCAATAATTCTCAACTAGGGAAAATAGGAAACAAGCTAAAGTATCTGTTTTGTTAAGTTATCGTAAGCTAACATGATAGAATCAAAGTAGAAATGTAATATTTTCCATTTTTGAACAGGCTGCTGGTAGTCCTAGGCCCAATTCAGACCCACCATTGACAAAGACAGGTGTCACTGTCCCAGAAAACCTATGTAACTTGTTGACTTGTCCTTTCTAAATCAGATTATTTAAAAGCAAATTACAGGTAATTTTCCTTAGCTGGAGATAGTCTGGGAGTGGTGATGCAGGAAAAAGCTAATCCTTTCTCATAGCTGAACTGCATATGTTCTGTTCCTTTATAAACTGTTCCATTATCATCCAGTAGTCTTTAGGAAAAAAAAGATAATTAGCACCACTAGACAATGCCCTTGTATGTATGAAGAACTCTACCAGTGTCACTGGGGTACAGAAAGTTGGATATGATATAAAAGGAAAAAAATGGGAAGAACTTTTTTTTAACTAAAGTAATCATACTACATATTACATAAATTTATGTAATAGAATTATTCCAAGGAAAGTTCTAGGATAATCAAATTTTTGTAAATTAACATTTAATTCATCAAAGGAATCTTTTTGTAATGCAAAAAAATCATTATGGAATCTGTTTTACATGTTAGATTTCTATATACTGAGTAGTATATACTTTGTAGTATAACTGATACATATATTTCAGTATGTCCCTTTAAGGTGTTAGCACCTTACATTTATTTATATTTACATTTAGCAATTTACTTTACTAATTAAGCAGAACCAGTGGTGTAGATAATCCAAAAAGTATTTATATCTGAAAGTGGAATGCACTGCATGATGCCCTTTTTCAGCCAACTTAATAAATAATTTTGCTCAAGCTAACATTAAAATGAGTTAACCTTCCCTAAACATACTGTGTGGGAGCTTTAGTATGTGTTGGGTTGGGAAGCCAAACTAGAATGGAAATTGGCCATAGATAACTCACAAAGTAGATACTCTAGTTGACTGTGGAGGCAATTTAAAAGATAAGAGAAGTAATGAATGAAAGTAAGTTAGATTTAGAAGTTGTACCCAGTATAGTAAAAAAATCTGGTAAAAAGAATACAAAGACAGCTGAAAGATACTTACAATGCCCTACTTGGCTAAAAGAATCTCAAGAAACCTTAACAATAAATCAGTACTGGTCAAAATGCTGAAACAGAGACTTTTAAAATGATAAAGTAGCTTTTCTAGGAACTTAAAATATCTAATTCACACTTAACATAATCTCTTTTCCCACTGACAATCAGGAAACTAAAGCATTGTGGAATAAAGTTGCTTAAGTATTGTTTTAGGTTAAAATACTGCAAATAATGCACTAGTGAGGCTAACTTAGTGAAAATTACTCTCCAACATGACTGGTCATGAACAAAACTATATTTAACTGTCGGTACTCTTCAGGTGTGAAGAGCACTATGTCCATTTCACCCAAGTAAACCCAAAGAGATGATATTAAAATGACATATTCAAACAGCTACTGGTACGCTAATGAAATAAACAGGGAATAAAAAGTGTCACAGAGTACAGAAAACACAGCCTATAGTCTCTTTCCCTAGAGGTACAGAATGTACATTTATTTGTATTTATTAATGATTGAAAATATCAAATCAAAAACTCAAGGGCAAGCAAATGATATGTTTAAGATTTTATCTTAATCGCTCTCTTACATTAGATAATAATATGGTTGTCAATTTAGTGCATTTTAAGAGAGTCCAGTTTCCACGTGTTAGGTAACACCATCTGTTTTCCCTTCCATAAACAGGGGTGGTCTATAAAATGCTTCGGAGATCAAAAAGTAGATCGATAGGTTTCCTTCCCTTCTTCATGACTGAAAAGGAGGCTGACTTTTCATCTTACTCCACTTTTGCTCTTCCAGGAAGACTATTTTAATTGCATGGAATTACTTAAAATGCAAGAATATGTAACATTTTAAGAATTTCACAAGGAGATGATTAACTGCTTCAATAAGTGAATACATATTATAGGCCCCAGCACTGTTAGGCTGGCATTTAATGTATATGGCGTGCAGGAAAATCTATGGTCAGAAAGAGTGTTTTTTTTTTTTTAAACCAAGATTTCAAAAGTTGACTTCTGAGTTGGTGTCTTTCTTTTGTAGTTCAGAGATTTCTCCTGGATTCCCTCTAATACCGTAAAAACTATCGGGTCCTGAAGCACAACCAAGTTTAAGGTAAAATGTACTACAAAAAAAAATTAGGATTTCTGCTAATAGGGTAACAAATCTTGATTAGGGCCTTTAATGTCAGAAAGACTGACTAGTTTTGTGAAGCCAAGCGGCTGCAGCTATATTCTAAGGAAGTCTTTATTTAAGGAAAGGAAACAGGAGAAGTAGGAATCTAAAGGCCTCAAAAATCATCTTTTTTCCCTAAATAACGATACAAGCAGATTAATCAAGTGAAGTCAAAGACATTTTCTAGGGGTTTTTAAATTCCTTCTCTCTTTCAAGATTCCTTCTTATTTACAATAGGAAGAAAAATAACGGGTGTAGAAGAAAGTCAATTTAACAAACATTTATTAAGCATCTAATATGTGTAAGACCTTAGGGATACAAAGACCAATAAAACCAATCTTTCCTGTCAAGAAGCTTACACTCTATCAGTGTGGGAGAGAAAAACAACATGAAAAGTACAGAGAAAATGGGAGAATGCTCTGAGCATTAACAACTTGGTGGAGAAAGAGGTTCCTAGAGTAGGGGGGTACCTGATCCAAGTCTGAATCCAAGCAAAAGGATTCTGTGAAGCAGAGAAGAGGAGGGAGGGCATTCTAAACATGGGGAAAAGCTTATATGAATGCAGAGGCACTTATACCATAAAGTTGGGATCAACAAGGAAAGACATAGGCAGGAGTTATATTAGGTAAGGCTATGGAGTCTGTAAATAACAGGACATCAAAGAAACAGAGGTAGAGCAGGAAGCATCAGTTAAAAGCATCATTTAAGCACTGCTGCAAAATACTCTAACTTGCAACCGTCCATGAGAAGTATGATCTATGACATCATGCTCTATCTCTGGAGGTAGAAATTCATGAATGGAATTGTAAATTCCATTCCCAGAATATTCAGTGACTTAGCGGGTAACAGTGGACATTCTTTGTTACCTAAGTGATTTATCTGTAAAATGGAATAAAGAAATTAGCAGTCTTTGTAAGGGAAAGAAATGTTTCTGCTGACCATATAAAACAAAACAAAAAACCCTTGAAGAGATGGAGAGTAGTAAGATTAGTCACAAGATTATTGATGCCCTAATTCAGAGCTTTTTGATAAATGCAAGCAGTCATTCTGAAGTTTGGCAATTGCTACCAAATAGAATATCTGCCACATCTATGCTGACAATGTAAAAAATACAAACTGTAGGTAAAAGAGTTTTTAAAAATCAGTCAAAATGAAAAACAGTCCATTGGTCTAAAAAGCCTTCATGATTTAGGAGTTTTAGCAGGACAGAAAATAGATGGGAAATCTGTCAAGGAAAGGGGCAAAGTGGGGTAATTTTGGGTCAAAAGTATACTGCAGTTAGTTGCTGTATCCCTGAAAACTGTGGGTATCAAAATATAGAGCCTGCATAAATGCCAGTCAATTTGTGGAATAACAACTGTGGGTTTGACAAATATTAGAAAAAAAGATTATTCAATGTATTATCTCCCTATTAGCTATAATTTCACAATGAACAATGATTTAAAAAAAACTTGCACAGAAATAATCAGTAATTTCCTTATCTATCTAGGGCTCTGAAGAACCTCAGACAGACAAGGAAACTTTGGCTGCTCTGTACTTCAACATAAAGACAATGAGTTTGATTTTGCAGAGGTAGAAGGTCTAAAAGTACTGTATAATGCAAATTATGTTAAGACTTTTTTGATGTGTTTACAAGGTAGTTTCCCTTCTCTTTTTCTGGCATAAAAAATACTTTACATAGGATGGCCCTCTGGGAGGGGATGGGAAAGAAATACTGAGGAAAATTATGGTGATAAAAAAATTAATTTTTAGGAAAACAACAACGACGACAACAACAACAAAAAAGGAAAGCGTGCTCTGAGATTTGAACATCTCTATTCATTTTCTCCAATACCTTCCTGTAGTAAGAGTTCTGGAGGCTGTGTCCCTGAGGCCACAGGTTCAGTTGCCCGGTCTGCAGGAGGCTGTGTCCTTGCTGAAATGCTCCCTGATGAGACTGTGGGTGGCGCTGGGCTGGTCTTGAGAAGCTGAATGTTTTGCTTTTCAGCACAGGATGAAGAACCTGTAACCGAAGAGGGCAAAGTACTTTACTTACAATACCATATTAGATTTATTAAATTTTGTTTAGTTATTACTCACTGTACTAACAGGATAATTCATCTAGCAAGCATCCTAGTAGGTATAGTTTCCAGATTAAACGAAGGTTAAAACCCTTAAGTACTAATATGATTCTCTTTTAAATGAAAATCTCCCTAATATATTTAGTCAATCAATACAATTTATTAGGTACCTACTATGTGCAAGGCACTATGCTAAGGTTGGGGATACAAAAAGAGGCAAAAGACAGGTCTGCCCTCCAGGAGCCAACAATCTAATATTTATACACTTTCTTGCCTTTAGAAACAAAATAGAGAGCATTTAATCTTTTACTGTTAATTCAAGCCATCAATGCAAACACTAATTAGGGTGTTATGTACTGAAACCTTAGAAATTAGTGGTATGGAGTTGTTTGACTCTCCACTAAGTAACCCTAGGTTTTTGACATTTCTGTTTTTTTTTTTTTTTTTTAAACTCAGCTAAGCTGTCAATTCTTACTTTTGGCTGTTTTACTTGTTTGCTGCTCCTACACACCCAAGTGTCACAGGAGAATTCCAAAGTGGCACCAACACTTTTTAAGTCAAGCACACAGACCGTGTAACAGCTGTGCTGGGTAGAGAACTTTTTAAAGGTTTTTAAAGGTTTAAAGGAAATTTATTTTGGATAGATGAGATTGCTCAATATCAAGCATATGAATAAATCTGAATGAGAGAGAATTTTATAAAACATAATTAGGGAGACCAAACAAAAATGTAATACAGTTAAATTAGGTGCCTCAGGTTTTTTTTTTATTATTATTAAATAACACTACCAGAAAAGTCACAAACAAAACCATTTAAGTTTTTCATGTGGTTAAAAAGAAACTCCTTTCCCTACACCTTCTTTCCCAAACTACAGGTTGGTTAAAATTCTCTCAAAGAAAATCAATTGTTATAGGAAGTGTTTGAATAGTCTGTATACACTGCCATACTTAATGAAATGTTAATGATTTAATGATAAATTTGATAAAATGATTTAATAAAATGTTGAAAGAAAGTGCTCCTAGACGACCCACACAATGCCCTGGAGCCCTTCCTTTCCTTATTATCCAGTATACTATCCATCCAAGTTATCCTCTCTAGTGGTCTCCCCTGCCTTTAATCAATACAGGGCCCTGGTAAATATCTTTACACAAGATACCCTGGGTAGCACAGTACAGCCTGTCTCATTTCTGTCATCTGTCCAATTGTTCTTTGAGTTAAATTTTTAATTCTAAGATCATGATGTCCCATAAACTGTAATCACATAGCATCAAAATGAGAACACTTAAGTTAAAGCTTAGAATTACCCAAAGAGCTGCATGACATCTCAAATATGGTCTGGGTAGATTTTCTTCTTGTTCTCAATTCTGGGTCAAGATAATTTTCCATCTATAGTACCTAACATATGTGTCTAGAACTGGAAAGGACCTTAGACACCCTCCATTCCAACCGCCTCGTTTAACAGATAATGAAACAAAGTCCCTCGGAGGTTAAGTGAAGTCGCACAAGAAAACATGGATGGAAACTTGGATTCCCTAGACTCTTTCCACTCCACCAAGCAGTCTCCCAAAGGCTTCCTCATCAGCTATATATCATAGTCTAACTTTTTTATCTGCTTTTTTAAAAAAAGAGTGGGTAGTAGAGCTAATTTCTTTCACATTAATTTAGATTTCTGAGGAAGTGGTGATGTTCCAGAGTTTCATACAATTAATAGATTATTATCTGCAAATTTAAGCATTTGGAAAACTCTGATATCAACAGGAAATACTGTAGCTTACCACTCTAGGATCAACATTTATTAAAATATTGGAAAACAATTTAGATGCAAATGTTTCCCCATATTATACCCTGCTTGACATCAACTTTCAGCACAGCACTGATGAAAAGTAATTTCAGTATTCACATGGGTCACAGTTATGTATATTCATACCAGCATGAATAGTAAGAACTGATATATTCATGCCAGTACTTCTAATTTTAATGTAGTGAGTCTCCAAAAATCTTAGTGCAGTTTTAAGCTATTACACACTCATAGAAATACTTAAAATGATATTGCTTTCCAAGCTCTTAGAGCCAACTCTACACAATGGCATTTTAAGGGAAAGGGCAGATTTTTCATGTAAGTTTCTCCAAAGAAGCTCAAAACCAATAGGTAGGTTGTCTGTTTGAAAGAGTCTATGATCACCATGTCTAACTTTAAAAAAATATAAGATTTTCCTCTCATGGTCCAAGTTGATGAGATTTTAATTTTATTAGTACTGCAATGACACTGGAACCTGAATCCTCTTTTGTGCTGTTAGGTCTGTCTGTTTCTCTCTCACACACATTAAAAACTCTCACAAACAACTATCACAGTTTAGCTACCTAGTTACTTTATTTGCAGAATTGCTCTCCACCAATAGAAATCAAACAATAAAAGCAAGAAAGGCTGAAAAAGGAAGAAAGGACAGATAACATGGAATTCCCACTTTTATGACAAAGTCCAGGGTTTACAGCTTAGCATTCTATTTGGTGTGATATGCCACAGGTGACAAGAAAACCTGTAAGACAGACATCTTATTGGATACTCTGTAACTGTCTGCAGGGCTCCTGAAGAAAGTGAGAGAATCCATTGTCCTGTTTGAAGCTTCTGTTCACTGAATAAAAAGAATTCCTTCCCAAACTCACAAAGAACAAATCCAACATTGAGTACAACATTTCATTTCATCAAAAGAAATGGATGGGTTTATTTTGCTTTTGAGGGTTAAATACTGTAAATAAAACCAAAAGCCACCATTCATCTATTATAACTTATAAACTTTACTACAAGAGCTTATTGTTTTATCACTGTAACAGGTTATGTGAATGAAAAACTCCCTCAAATAGATAAATGTGGACTCTACCTGCCTATAAACTGCCTGCATAAAGAAAAATCTTTTAGTCATCACGATTCAATTTTGTGCAGGAGACATAAAGAGTAAGACAAGAGTAAATTCTTATCAATTGTTTAACTTGCTACACTTTTCTAACATACTAGAAAAACAGATTAAGCTAGGCCTTGAAAGACAAACATGCTATGATTACAAAGCCAGTGCGATTTGAAAACATTCATTGCTCTCAATCTCTTTCATCTTTTTATCTATCAATCCCTCCCTCCCCCCATTCTCATTTATCTATCTTATCTCGGTGCCCTTGGGAATGTCTTCAATTTCTACATCTACAAATGAGGCACTGGAGACTAGGTAACTGTTAAAGATATCTAAATTCTACAATCCTAAGTGTACTTTCAGCTCAGACTACTGAAGAAATCATCATATTAAAAAATTCAGAATATTAATTGGTCCCCTAATACAATGGTCTCCAAAGTAAGGGCTTACGGAATGATTCCAAGGGGATAGGAAGATGGGTCACCTTCTACCCTTCTAGGAGCCTGTGTTTCCAATACTTCTCCCTACCCCCCCACGAAGGGAGTGGTTATAATCTAACATGAAGCTACACAAGCACAATTTCCCACCTCACCCAGTGTCCCCACACCTGGATCTCTACTTGGGCTGTACTCGGCGAGTGACAGATCACCCCTCCTTTTCATTTTTTGATGAGTGAGTCACACAAGATGAACAAGCAAGAAAGGATTTCCATTTGCACTGCAGATGTCACTACATTCATGACCTTTGCCCATACCCCTCCTCCAAATCGTAGAGGGCACCATATCCTTCCTAATCGCCCAGGCTCACAATCTGTGTCCTCCCCAATCCTCACTCTCCCTAACCCCACATATCCAGTCATTTGATAAGCTTGCTATGGAGGTAGAAACAACTTTTAAAAAATCTGTCCTTCTCTCAACTCACACATCATAGTTCAGGCCCTCATCACTGAGGCTATTCCCACAGCCTCCTGAGCCACCCTTCCTTCAAAGTCTCTTCCCTCTCCAATACACTCCTGTTAGAGTGATTTTCCTAAAGTGCAAGGCTAATCACAGTACTCCTTTGATGGAAGCAGCTCCCTATGGAGTTGAGGGTCAAACAGTACTCACTTTGGGTTACATGACTCCTGGGTTTTTTTTTTTCCTAGTAGGTGTTCAGGATCAAAAAAAGTTTGGAGCCTACTGGTGCAATAAATGCAATTTTCGGAAGAAACTCACCTACCAGCTTTACTTCTCTTCCCCTTCCTCAAACTACTAAGACAGAGAGCCAACAAGGTGGGTTCCATGGTTAGAGGGGCACAGAGCAAACCACTGACAACTTACCAAGTCTTAAGGTAAAGGTAACTGACTAAGCAAGGGCTATCCTTTGGAATGAGTGCAGGAGCTTTTCTCTCTTGCACAAACCTCCCTTCTCAAAGGGAATGCTATCCCAATGTAAAAGCTTCAAATGAAAAGGGCTCTGTTAGTTAAGAGCTCTAAAGACATAGCATGTGTAATAGCACACGTTGTAAGATTTGTCACTATACACCAGAACTTCTGCCGTTCTAGGACACAAACCATATCTGGAAATCTGCAAATTCTTGGACGATATAAACAGCTTACTGACAAAGTAAGTTAACTAGCATTTATTAAGCTCCTGCTGTGTACCAAGTGCTAGAGATATAAAAAAAGGGAAAAACAATGCCCACCCCCCCCCCCAGCATACTGGAATTATTGCCCTCAGATATGTTTTGTGTATATGTATATGTATATGTATATGTATATGGTTCCAAAACCAGCCTACAAAAATCTATTTCACAATAGACCAGAAATCCAATACCTCGTTTTAGTAGCATCAAAGAACTTAACCATCATTTGTAACTTTTTACGGGGGGTGGGAAATTGCCTCCATTATTTAGACAATAATTATTTACTAAGAACCTACTATGAAGGAAAGCCTCTTCCAAAAAAGATATTTTATTCCCATTTTTTTGGTGGACCTGATGAACTTTCTTTTTTTATATACTATCTCCTTTTCTACCTGGGGCAACGGAAAGAAGATAA